ATATTTACAAAATTTGAGGGGAACCATTTTATACTGTAGGTGGAACCCTAACACCATGATGAATGTTAGACATCTGAATGCAGAATTTTGTTTCAGCCACAAGTAAACTTGGACATTTTGTGAAGATTACAGGTTTTTAATTGTTAATGTTTGTATTTTTACTGCATGCAGAGCTGTGAACCTGAGCATGAAGAAGAGATTGTGTTGAACCCGGACTGTATTGTCTTCCATGAGAGAGAAAGAGATGGACGGCATTAACTCTTGTGAGTTTCCATTTCCCTTTCTGCTTGAGCATCTTATCTAATTTTATAATCTTTCTCTCTTCTCTTCTTTGTGGTTGTAATGCTTTCATTATATCTGGATGCTGGACCTCTCTGTTCTCAACAATGAATACCTCTCTGGACTTGCATTATAGATGTAGATAAAAGAAAAAAGGTGTTATCGATAGCAACCCAAGATATTACAGCAATCATTTTGTTATTCTGGTTAAAACTTGAAACTAGACATCTAATTGGTCATTAGTTTTATAAGTACCATCTGTTCTTCTCAGGATTATAATTCTTTCTCTGTGGAATATAATTTCTCATCTTCATTCTCATCTCGTTCCTCTCTCTTTCTCTTCCAGACATTCTCCTCAGTGATCATTGGCTTAACAGTCCCTTCCTTTGTCAAATAACACAGTCAATAAACATGCATTTTCATAGTGGTCTCATTGTTTAATACGAATCTTTTAATAAAATCTACCCAGGCATGTGTGAAAAGCAGTATTTGTCAACAAAGTCAAAATGTTTCTCAGCTATTTCAATTACTTACAAGGTTTCTGTAAAGTCACTGCTGCAAGAGTGCTAAAAAACTCACATTTCACTCCCTGTTCCCTGCTCCACACTCCCACACTCTCCTGCTCTCCACTTTTCATTCCCCCATTTTCTACTCCTGATTTTCCTGCTCCCTGCTCTTCACTCCCTTACTCCTCCCTCTTCACTCCCATGCCCCCCCTCTTTAACCCCCTCCTACTCCCTGCTCTCCACTCCCCCACTCCCTGCTCTTCACTTCCCTGCTCTATGCTCTTTCCTCCACCACTCCCTGCTCCTCACTCCCCATCTCCCTGCTCCTAAAACCCCCACTCCATGCTCCTCATTCCACCGCTCCCTGATCCTCACTTCCCCGCTCTTCCCAAGTAGATGGATAGTTGATGGAGACTGTGCTGTCCCTTGTGATCTTGTAGTCCTGAAACAAGTTGTACAAGTTCAGGGAAGCAGAGCTCAAGAGTTGAAACTGTTTGGAATCATGATGACTGTGTTTGGGCAAAAAAAATAATAAAGAAACACATTGCTGGGTAATGTATACTTGTTTGATCTGGATTAATTATTGAGAAAAAAAAAAAGTTTGGTAGTTTTAATTTGATTTTAACGTAGA